CGAATAAGAGAGTGAAGATTCGATGTGATAAGTCAACGATTAAATATTAACTTTACAAAATTTAACGATCACCTTCGATATTATAGAATCGCAAGTTAATTATTATGAATTTAATAATTTGTTTTTTCAGTTATATTTCAGTTGTATTTACAAATTTTGTATCGGAAAATATTCATAAATAAATTAATAAATTATGGTTGCGAAATCACCGTGTTTTTCCTACGTTTTTTTCGCGTTCTTAGACTAGATTATCGTTTTATTAAAAGAGTTATCATTGTTCCTTCCGTTAAATAAACGTTAATGAAAGTTCCGTGGCTCGTACCGCCGAGGAATCGAACGATTTTCATCATGGAGAATTATTTCTCACCGGTTCTTGTGAAATCCATTCGCGACGTCTAGTTCGGTGCCCTGTTGAAAATTGGGAATTTTTATTGTAAGATTGAAAGAACTAATCCCAGGTTTTCCTGGCAATTTCTGAAAGCAATGATTTTGATAGTAATTCAACGATGAACACCATACGCTTCTTTAAAGTCGAATTAATAATAAATAACATATATTTAGATGAAAAAAATGTATCCTTTCTTTTCTTCGTTAAAAAAGTTCTATCATTATTAGGATTGGTATTATTATTGTCTAATGCTAGAAAGATTTAATAATAGATTAAAGATGGATATAGCGTTGCTTATAAATTCTTATTTTTCAAATAATTTCATATTGTGATTAATTTTTATTAATTTTTTGATAAAAATGATTACGAACAAATATATTTTCAATTATATAATTTGTCTCTCTTTTGAAAAATTATTTCTAGGTGCTGGGGATATTAACATTAATTTTTAGTTTCTTTTAAGAAACTATCTGCAGGTATTGGACATCTAGCCATTAGCCATTTTGAAATATAAATTTTTAGATATATACCATTTTATATATATATATGTATAATAAAATACATGCACAAATTAACGTATCCAAAATATTTTTAGCATTTTTATTAATATGATATATTATATATACGCGAAATTATACATGAATGTTACATAAAATGTGTGAATACTTGAAAATTTCGAGACAAATCGAATGGGTACCTCTTTATCAGTAAGATATTAATTAAAAGAAAAAAAATTATCAGTTTAAATGTTATAAGAATAAGAACCTAGAGAATTAATTTGGAATTAATTATTTAAAATTATTTGATTTATTTTATTTTGCACACTATTTGAACTGAAATTTTTTTAATCTTGCTGATATCGGATTCGATTCGTCTCGCGCGCGCGAACGGTACTTCAAATTATTGTGTTGGCACATTTAACACAAACTCCAATGATGCATGTATTTTATTATTTATAAATATAATCGTTTGTAATCACATTTTTATAAAAAATTTGTTATATCCATTTAATTTGCAATAAAGGTATATATTTCTTAATAATGAAAGAACATGTTTTCTGACGTGAATATCAATTTCGTGAATTGAAGACAATGATGAGGGATAATTGTTTCGTCGTTGATATATTACTGAAATCATTGCTATCGAGAATAGTCCGGAAGATCCAGGATTCGTTTCCTTATAGTAAAGTTCCCGACGTTCAATGGATCACTTAACTTTTCTTCGTAGATTGATCTTGTGAAATCTGATGTAGAAACAAGATGTTAATCGTTCTCCATATTTAAGATCGCTCCTCTTTTTATCGGATATTTTTATTGGTATGTCACTGGCGTATCTGATGATTTCGATTATTATACTATATTATAAAAATTATGTGTAATCGAATATTTTAAATATTATCGATTTATTTATTCGCGTTTTTTCGGGAATTTTAAATCGTGATTTATCTTATAATTTAATATAAATTATAATTATCTTATAATTTAATCGTTGACTTATACATCAAAGCTTTGTCTATCTTTCCACGTCTTTGAATATTGTCTTTAATAATCCGCGTAAAATCCACTAATAATAAAAATATTTTTTTCTGTAATTAAAGAACGGTCGATAACTTTATTAATGACTGTTTTAATCGCGATTGTTTACACTAGATAAATCTTATTAAATTCTATTATTACATCATTTATTAGAGAGACCTTGATAAAATCATTCAATTAAACGACAGTAATAACGTGATTTTTTAAATTATATTTTAAAGCTTATAAAGCTTTCATTTTATCTTATTTAGCTAATTATGCGCGAGATAGGATATGTATTTTATTCTCAATCGAAATTTGTATAAAATCGCGTATTAATCACAAATAAATTGGACAGTGAATTTTATGTTCATAAACAATACGGACCACAAATGTTTATTAAAATATCTTCAATCTGTATCATCAATTTGTGTGATAATAATTATGTCGCGCGCATATCTATGATGGTTTTGATTATCATATTATAAAAATTATACGTATATTTCTCGTAATCGAATATTCCAATTATTATCGATTTATTTATTCACGTTTTCTCGCAAATTTTAAATCGCGATTTATTTTTTAATTTAATTGTTGATTTACATCGAAGCTTATTTTATTTTTTCGTATTTTGAATATTTCCTTTGATAATCTATACAAAATGCGCCAGTAATGTAAATACTTTCTTGTATAATCGAAGAAATGATCAATAATTTTATTAATGACTCTTTTAATCACGATTATATTATTATACGTTACATAAAACTTATTAAATTCTATTAAATTCTATTATTGCATATCGATTATTAATGATAAATGTTGCGTAATTAATCATCGCTAATCGGGCTTATCTGGACTATATAAAAATTTTTAATAAATTTCATATTATACGTATATTTTGGACATTTTCGCGTAATGAATTATTATTCCATGTAATAAATAAAAATTATTTTGTATTAAGCATGACAAATGATGGTAATCCTTATGATTTTAACACCAAGGAATACAATTAACCAATAATCCTAGAACTCGAGGAAGAGAATATATTGAATAGAAATGAATAATGATTGGAAATGATTAGAAATTAAAAGAGTAGTATGAATACAACCTATTTATTAATAGTAATACTATTTTGTAATTATATTTGTAACGAGCTTATTTCCGCGGATAACGGCAGTCGTAATGATCGGGTTCGATTAATAAAACAAAAAAAAGAAAATATATTTAAAAATAGAGTTTGTACAGGTACAGTTGCGTGCGTGTGCGAGTAATTATCGCAAAAGAAACTCGGCGCGTATATACAATTGCGTTCGTGTGTTGATATCGCAAGAACTCGACGCGTTCGAGATATGCCTCGGGCGTTCGTTCGTGGGCTCGCGGCCCGCGTCGGAAATGCGCTAATAAATGCAACGTGTTTTAGAGTGGTTGCAATCGGTGCTTATGTTTGATGTTGCACGGTCGGATGCACCACGAGTTCGTGCAGCGGGTCGTGAAGATCGGGTGCCGATGCAACGCAGCGTTCGCGAGCAATAAAGATTTTAAACCGATCAGCTGTTTAGTCGTCGGTCGATGGATGCGTGACGTCACGGCGCGTGCCGGCGTTTTTCGAACGCTTTTTCGTACGATGCGGGATTGTTCGTAAAGCCGTATATTTTCGTGGAAATGAATCGACGGGATTTCCCTTCGGGAAGACCGTGCTAGCGAGAACGTCCCGCCGGGGGTAGCTCTCCTCTCTACCTCCGGATGCACTGGTCGGAAAGGTGACGGAAGCTGGATTCTGCCGAGAACTCCCGGAGAGATTGGGGAACGCCCCAATTTCTGGATGCACTTTTAGAAAGGATTGCGCCTATCTTCGCGAATCCTGAGAATTCCCAGGTGTGGCGGGATACTCCCCACCGCTGATTTCGCTGCTTTTGGCGTCTTAGGTGAGTTTGCTCTGGCGACTTGTGCGCTGGAGAAACTCAGAAAAGAGTGATCTTTCTTCGATCGACAGGCCCTTTTTATACGGGACTAATTAGCCCGCGCCGGCGTAAAACAACGTTACCCCCGTCGGGCGGCCGCAAAACATGACGGCTCCGTTCGTGGCGCGCGGTGGAGCCGGGCGCGAGGGGACTTAACCCGATCGTTCGGGTTTCGTCGGCCGTCTTCGGCGCGCTTCGTCATTTCGAAGCTCAAACGTACGGCTTTGTTCTTTATTGTTTAAAAAATGTGGCGCTCAGCGCCCTGCCCTTGCCTGGCGGTTCTTGTGCCGGGCGGCAGCTTCCAGCGATCGCTTGCTGGGGATCAGGGGTGCATGGGTGCAGCGTTATATATTACATTTTATAATTTAGTACATTGTATTATATAAAGTATTCGGCATAAAAATATTATGCTGGTATAAAAATTATAATAAAAATATATAATGTAAAAATAAATAATGTTGGCTATATTAAAATGGAACATATGAATTCTTTATATTTTATATAAAGGAAGAGACATTTAAAATATTTTACAACATCTATATTTTTCGAATCTCAATTATAAAAACTTTAGGAAAATCAGTGATTAATTTGACAAATTCTATACATGTATTAATAATTAAATTTTTAAATAATTAAGAAATGATTAATAAATATCAAAGATCAGTTTACTACTAATTAAGATTCTAGCAGACATTTTGTGTTTTGTAAATAAAAATATATAAATATGGCAATAAATATAGAAAAATATTTGTTTCATTTTTGAACATTATATTGGAAGATTACAGTATCGTTCGCGATTGAATAATTTATTTACTATCAATTTATATACATAAGTGTCTTGTTATACTCTGGTGCTACCGGTATTTTGTGCACATAGCACGGAACGAAACCAGAAATTGTGCACATTATATCCTCTGAGAACATTCAATGGACAATGGCTTTGTAATTCATGTCCACGTTTTCAATGTTCATAGAGGGAGCATCGCTTTCAGGGATCACCTAAAAGCAGGCCATGACATCTCTCAGTCTTCTCTCCGACAGCACTCTGATTGCTGTGATATCATATTCAATGCGCATGCGCGAGAAAACCTGGTCCGTCTAACAACACTGCTCGCGAGGTTGGCAGTCCTGCGAACGCGTGCGGAGGGACCGGCGGCGCGGCGCTCGCTGCCAAAAAGGGGCAGAGTGATGCGAAGATTGTCAAATATCAGGTGCGCGACGACGACGACGACGACGACAGTGGTGCGGCGAGTCCGGTGAGCCTGGTGTTGGTGTGGTTGGGGTGTTGTGTGACACGCAACGCAACACGTAGCCGCGTCGAGAGGCCCGCGCGCGCGCGCGCGGACGCGATGTCGAGCACTCTGGAGAAGAAGATCATGAGCCTGGAGGAGCGGCTGCGAGCGGAGAACGAGCTGCGCGACAGGGACAGGCAGGGGGGCGAGATCGGGGGGGGCCTGTTGCACCCGTCGACGGGCCCCGCGTCCAGCCCCGCGCTTCGCAGACCCCGACAACGTAAGCACGTTGCTCTAAGCTAAGTAAGAGACCTCCTCCGCGAGGTCTCCCGACGATGGATCCTTCCCTGCCGCGTGATCGATAGGTCCTATGGTGACGCGATCACGCGCGCAGGTTATGTTGATTGTTTCGATTCTCATTGTTGACCCGAGGAATTTCCGCGAAGCGTTTCTTGTTGTCTACTTAACGGGTGACAGTAATATTTCTACGCGGCCGTCTGTCGACTATTTTTATCCCATTTGTTTATCTGCATTGTGAGGATGCATAACGCGAGTCGGTCCATTTGTTTGTCTTTGTTAAATCAGAGCTAAATCTCAAACATTTTTATTGTTATATAATACATTGAAATGTAGTTAATTAGTGCAATGGAAAATGAAATGATAGCGAATAAAAATGTTGAGAAATTGTCGACAAGCAATGCCATAAGATGTAATATAAAATATTAGAATTCTTGAAAAAATTAAGTTTGATGTTAAAAAATTATATATTGAGATTTGTTATTATTAATCTGTTTAAGAAATTTCTTATTAATTTATAAATATGAATTTAAATCTTTGAAATTAGAATAATTAAAATACTTTTAAAATACCTATGAAAATTGTTCTTAGGCGTCAAAGTATAAATGTATATTTTAATAAGAATTAGATTAAACTTCATAGCGTAGTGTATATATTGTGAGGATGCTAACGGGAGTCGTTTATTTGTTTGTCTTTGTTAAACCAGAGCTAAATCTCACACATTTTTATTGTTATATAATATATAAAATGTAGTTAATTAGTGCAATGGAAAATGAAATTATAGCGAATAAAAATGTTGAGAAATTGTCGACAAGCATTACCATAAGATGTAATATAAAATATTACAATTCTTGAAAAAATTAAGTTTGATGTTAAAAAATTATATATTAAGATTTGTTATTATTAATCTGTTTAAGAAATTTGTTATTATTAATTTATAAATATGAATTTAAATTTTTGGAATTTGAATAATTGAAATACTTTTAAAATATCTATGAAAATTGTTCCTAGATGTCAAAGTATAAATATAAATTTAGTTTAATAAGAATTAGATTAAACTTAATAGCATAGTATATATATATTAAAATAATATATACGTTTCTTATTAGTTGTAGATATAGGTACCCCGACGCGCCCTAGAAGACAGTTGGATTTACCAGTATCGCAGATAATACCACCAAAGAAGCATGACAGTGAATTTGAGTCAAAGATGCAGGAGATCATGAAGATGAGTGGTATCCTAAACATTAACGGCCAAAGATATCAGACAGAAATGAAAGATTTGGAGCATTTAGGTGAACTTGGTAATGGTACCTGTGGACATGTTGTCAAAATGAGGCACAAACCCAGTGGCGTGGTAATTGCTGTGAAACAGATGCGACGTTCTGGTAATACAGAGGAAAACAAGAGGATAATTATGGATCTTGATGTTGTGCTGAAGTCACACGACTGTCCGTACATTGTACAGTGCCTAGGCTGTTTCATCACCGAGTCTGATGTATGGATTTGTATGGAACTAATGGCAACATGTTTGGATAAGCTATTAAAGCGTAGCAGGCAGGCGATACCTGAGGATTTTTTAGGCAAAGTCACAGTAGCAGTAAGTGTGTATCTGTAAAAGTCTTCAAAATAATAATAATTTTCAAAAATTAAATATCTTTCTCTTTCATTTTAATCTCTTATTTTAAAATTTGAAATAAAATTGAATTTAAAAATAAAATTGAATAATTTAATAATTTTTGCATTGACTCTGGAAATGTAAAAAAGATTTTATCTATGCTATTTTTCTTCTTCAGACAGTAAAGGCATTGTCGTACCTGAAAGAAAAACACGGTGTTATTCATAGAGATGTGAAACCTAGTAATATATTACTGGATGAATCGGGAGGAGTGAAACTTTGCGATTTTGGAATATCCGGCAGATTGGTTGATAGCAAAGCAAAGACGAGAAGCGCGGGATGTGCGGCGTACATGGCTGTAAGTACAATGTTGGTTGTTTATCAAAATGTTGCAGAATATTTAAATGTTTTGTATGCATAAAAATGAATAATTGTGCATTTTTCTGCTGTTCTCTTTATGCAGCCTGAAAGAATAGATCCACCCGATCCTACTAAGCCAGATTATGATATAAGGGCGGATGTATGGAGTCTAGGCATTACTCTGGTGGAATTAGCTACAGGAGTATTTCCTTATCGAGACTGCAAGACTGATTTTGAGGTAAAGTTTTCTCTTTGTTTTTTCTGTTTGAACTTGGCTATTAGAAAGGAACTAATAATTTTTGAATTTTTCCATTTTTATTGTAAAATGTTGCTAAATATATATGTACAATATATTATACAGGGTGAGGAAAAAGTATGGAAACCCCTAAATTTTTCGAAAACTATGCGTTTTAGAAACAAATGTTTCAGACAAAAGTTGTAAGGTTTCAAATAACGCATTACATAGCAATGTCAGTATAACCTTGAACAGCACCGTCAAGGTCACATAAAAATCACTTTGAATGTTTTAAATAGAACTCCCTACTTTTTATTATATATTCTTGTAGCTTGTTTCAAGAGCTTTCAAAAACACTATAATAAAGTATTTTTTCAGTGAGTACTTTTCAAGTTATAAAGCTTGAAATAATTTCTTAATTTTACATAAACCATAAACAATAAAATATTTTTTCTTCAAAACTATGTTTTTTCTTTACACTAATTGATTCTTCATATTATCTTATGCATAAAAGTATGAAGATGAGATAATAAAAAATGAATATTTTATTGAACATTTTATGGTTTATGTAAAATTAAGAAATTATCATTTCAAGCCTCATAACTCGAAAAGTACTCAATAAAAAGAACACTTTAATATAGTGTTTTGGAAAGCTCTTGAAACAAGCTACAAGAATGTGCAATAAAAAATAGTGAGTTCCATTTAAAAAATTCGAATTGATTTTTATGTGACCTTGATGGTGCTATTCAAGGTCATACTGATATTGCTACATAATGCGTTGCTTGAAACCTTACAACTTTTGTCTGAAACATTTGTTTCTAAAATGCATAGTTTTCGAAAAATTTAAAGGTTTCCATACTTTTTCCTCACCCTGTATACAGGATGTCCCAAAAGTGCCGGACCAGTCGAATATTTCATAAACTATGCACTTCAAAAAGAAATGCTTCAGACAAAAGTTGTATAGCTTGAAGGGGGCTATCAGATAGTGGCAATGATTTGATATGGGAGAGTCATTTGAAAGTCACGTGAAGATCATCGTCAATTTTTTAAATGGGACCACCTATTTTTTATTAAATATTCTGGTAGCTCACGTCGAGAGCTTTTCAAAACACTACAATTAAGTTAGTTTTCATTAAGTACTTTCCAAGTTATGAGGCTTGAAATCATTTCTTAACTTTACATAAACCGTAAAATATCTTGTGAAATATTCATTTTTCCATTATCTTACCTAGTTATGAGGCTTTAAATAATATTATAATTTTGCATAAACCATAAAATATCTAGTAAAATATTCATTTTTTATTATCTTACCTTAATACGTTTATGTACAAAATAATGAGAGGAATCAATTGATGTAAAGAAAATACATAATTGTTTCGAAGAAAAAATATGTAATTGTTAATTGCAAATTACATATTTTTTTCTTAAAAACAACTATGTTTTTTCTTTACACCAATTGATTCTTCTCATTATTTTGTACATAAAAGTATTAAGGTAAGATAATCGAAAAATGAATATTTTACTAGATATTTTATGGTTTATGCAAAATTAAGAAAGGATTTCAAGCCTCACTCGAAAAGTACTCAATGAAGAAATACTTTATTATAGTGTTTTGGAAATCTCTCGAGATAAGCTACACGAATATGTAATAAAAAATAGGGGGTTCCATTTAAGAAATTGACGGTGATCTTCACGTGACTTTCAAATGACTCTCCCATGTCAAATCATTGCTACTATCTGGTGGCCTCCTTCAAGCCACACAACTTTTGTCTGAAACATTTCTTTCTAAAGTGCATAGTTTATGAAATATTCGACTGATCCGGGACTTTTGGGACACTGTATAAATAAAATTGATTAAGTATCGAAACGATTATTTCGTTTTTAATTTAATTTAATCAAAATTTCATTCGTAATACGATTATATTTTCAAAAAATCTTTTTTTTTTATTGCCATCATTCTCTACTTAATTGCAGGTACTGAGCAGAGTAGTACAAGATGATCCTCCGTCTCTTCCAACAGATGCGCCCTTTTCCAAGGAATTCAGGAACTTTGTCAGTTGCTGCCTTACAAAAAACTACAAGCATCGGCCCAAATATCACAAGCTTATGGAACACCCGTTTATTCGCAAGTATGATGTTCCACAGGATGTCGAAACAAATTCCGCTCTAACGAACTCCGGCTTCCAATGGTTCGGCAAGGTCATGCGACAGTTGGAACCAAGGTAAAAACGAAGATTCATCGATCGCCGTTTGCTTTTCTTAGAAGACGTGATATTTAAAAAACTTAATACCACATGATAGGAAAGACAGGGTGATAATATATTTGATAACGCTAGTCTGACAACGAGATCACGAATTTTAAACACGGCATGAGATTCCTAACTAATAAAGATACTGATCTTTCTGGTTTGGTTATCTCTTTTTTTATCTTTTAAAAATAACCAGATGCAATTGTATTTTATAAACAACAATTGTATTTTGTAAACGTCTTACATATACTTACATTTCTATAATCAGTAGATATCATTGGTATCACAAAATAATTTCAAAATTGAACAGAACGTTTTACGAATTGATTTGTTGCAGGACATAAATGAAAAAAGTCTCGGAATTGTGGCATTTTCAGCTCTAAGTCAGGAGATTCTCTCGTTAATTGTTTTATCGATTTTTGCAGTTTTGCAATCAGTTGCATTGATGCAACTCATTGATTTGCGAATTTATCAATAAATTTCAGAGAAACGCGAAAATCTCATAAAACACAATCATACACACATCCGTTATACAGGGTGTCCCAAAAGTCCCGGATCGGTCGAATATTTCATAAACTATGCACTTTAGAAAGAAATGTTTTAGACAAAAGTTGTATGGCTTGAAGGGGGTCATCAGATAGTGGTAATGATTTGACATGAGAGAGTCATTTGAAAGTCACGTGAAGATGACCGTCAATTTCTTAAATGGAACCCCCTAGTTTTTATTACATATTCGTGTAGCTTATCTCGAGAGCTTTCCAAAACACTATAAAGTATTTTTTTATTTTTGTTATGATTATTTTTTTTTTTTTTTTTATTTTTTCGTTATTACTTAATAATTTATGTATATGAGAGGAATCAATTGGTGTAAAGAAAAACATAGTTGTTTCGAAAAAAAAATATGTAATTGTTAATTGCAAATTACATACTTTTTCTTCGAAACAACTATGTGTTTTCTTTACACCAATTGATTCCTCTCATTATTTTGTACATAAAAGTATTAAGGTAAGATAATCGAAAAATGAATATTTTTTAAGATATTTTATGATTTATGTAAAATTAAGAAATGATTTCAAGCCTCATAACTCGAAAAGTACTCAATGAAGAAATACTTTATTATAGTATTTTGGAAAGCTCTCGAGATAAGCTACACGAATATTTAATAAAAAATAGGGGGTTCTATTTAAGAAATTGAATGTGGCCTTTACGTCACTTTCAAATGACTCTCCAAGATCAAATTATTGCCACTATCTGATGGCTCCCTTCAAGCCATATAACTTTTGTCTGAAACATTTCTTTCTAAAGTGCATAGTTTATGAAATATTCGACCGATCCGGGGGGACACCCTTTTGGGACACCCTGTATATACAAGTATATATTTTTCTTTGCTATTACTATTTATTTTAAAAATTGACACACATTTATAATTTATTTTTTCAAATTAAAAGTTTGCGTGCGTGTTAAATTGTGTTACAGCGTTGAGCTTGAGGGAGGCAGTGCAGCGTAGCATATCTTTCCTTTCTCGTTCCTTCCTCTCTTCCCATTTCCGCTCCTTCCTGGACAAACTGGTTAAGATTCCCGAGACTTAAAAAGAAAAAAAGAAAAAAAAAAGAAAAAAGATAAAACAGACCACTCCACTATTATTATTACTACTACTACTACTATTACTACTACTACTACTACTACTCAGAGTATCCAAATATCTGCCCAATTTTCATTTCGAGTTGTTTGGTTTGTGCACGCGCCTGTTACACACCCCATCCTTCAACCCTCACTCACGGTAAGCATTGTTTTTTTATTTCAATATATTTTCGTTTCTCTTTTTTTACTTACTTTTATTGCATTTAGTGTAGCGATTATCAGACTTTATTTTTGTCGCAATGCACGCATAATTTTTCCCTGTATACACGTCACTTTTGTTTTCTTTTTTTGCAGTTTTTACATATTCCATCTCCTTTCTGGTAGCAAATTCTTGCTTATTGCAAATTGGAACGAGATTAATACAGTTATTGCTGAAGAAAACTATGGATCATATACTTTAGTCATCATTTTTTTTAAATTCTGTCAGTAAAATATTCATAAATTCTTGTACCCCAGTGCAAAATTATTTTTGTCACTCGTCCCAACTTATGACAACGTGAGAAACAGATGCTGCGTGATGATATCAAGGCATAATCTTCTGAAAGTTTTTAGCGTGATTTAGAGACTTAATATACAGGGTGAGCCATTTTAAGTTACTCACCCCAATAACTTTTTTATTTTTGAATGTACAACAAAAGGTTTCAAATAAAAGTTGCTTGACTTCGAGGGGGACAGAAGATGGTGGTAAAAATTTGACCTTGGATAGTCATTTGAAGGTCACAAAGGTCACCTTCAATTTCTTAAATAGAACTTACTATTTTTCATTGCATATTCTTGTAGCTTATCTCGAGTGCTTTTCAAAACACTATAATTAAGCACTATAATTAACCTTTTCGTTAAGTACTTTTTAAGTTATGAGGCTTGAAATCATTTCTTAATTTTACATAAACCATAAAATATCTCGTAAAATATTCATTTTTCGATTATCTTACCTTAATACTTTTATGTACAAAATGATGAGAGAAATCAATTGGTATAAAGAAAACATACAGTTGTTTTTAAGAAAAAATATGGAATTGTTAATTGCAAATTACATATTTTTTATTAGAAACAACTGTATGTTTTCTTTACACCAATTGATTCCTCTCATTATTTTGTACATAAAAGTATTAAGGTAAGATAATCGAAAAATGAATATTTTAGTAGATATTTTATGTAAAATTAAGAAATGATTTCAAGCCTCATAACTCAAAAAGTACTTAACGAAAAGGTACTTAATTATAGTGTTTTGAAAAGCTCTCGAGATAAGCTACAAGAATATGCAATAAAAAATAGTAAGTTCCATTTAAGAAATTGAAGGTGACCTTTATGTGACCTTCAAATGACTATCCAAGGTCAAATTTTTGCCACCATCTTCTGTCCTCTTCGAAGTCAAGCAACTTTTATTTGAAACCTTTGTTGTACATTCAAAAATAAAAAAGTTATTGGGGTGGGTAACTTAAAATGGCTCACCCTGTATATGCAATCTGGTACCAAAGAATATCTCGTAACAGAACTTTCTCGTTTGTATTATTGCATGCTCATTTAATGATTAATGCTTTGCTCTAACTTCTATTAACTCTTCTAAACCTAAGCATTTTATAGAATCATCACAATATGGTAATTACTGAATAATACTGGCATATGTACAGATATGTATAATATGAATGAGAGTCAAAGAGAAGAGAAGAAATCATGCTTTCGCGCTGGAAAAAATCACTTCTATTCTTGAAGAAAATTTATTTAGATCATAATCCAGTTTCAGGCTATCGGGAGGACAGCAACAACAGCGGGTTTCGGGTCATGTATCATTGAAACAGACGGCCCATCTTCGGGCGCAATCCGAGGTGCCGGCTTTCCTAAGAAGCAACATCAATAGTAGCTTCAGAGAATCGCCTAATTCTGGCTTTCTACCGTTTCATCAACGTTCTAACAGCGAGAATGGCACAAACTATGTACCTTACAATCCATATGCTCTTCCTCGAAAGGAGATTGCCCGGCCATTCTCGCCACCGATGTCGAAGGACCCTGCACTGGATCAACCGGAGTCGAATCTGCCACCGCGGCCCTTCTCGCCTTATCGGCAGCACGAGCAGAGCATCAAGCATGATTATTCCTCAAATCGTTGCGCGACAACGAATGGCCAAAATAAACAGGAGATGACGACGAGATCGTTCTCTCCTTATAGAACGCAAGACACCAACTTGGACAACAATGATCGACCCTATTCTCCGTATCGCATCGCTCGCTACGATGAACGCGACATTGGCAACAAGACAGATCGATGGCAAGGAGGTGTCTCGAGATCACTGAGCCCCTTTGCCAGAGATTACTCGCCTTGGCGGCGGGAAAATGTCGATCCACCTGTCATTCAGCCGCCACCTGTTACATGTGACAGCGGTGGCCGTTATTCGCCATTTTTCCAACAACGACTCGCACAACTGTCGTCACAGCAACCCACGACGCTCCAGACCTACCCGCAAACACAAGACATTTATGGTAGTCCCATGATTAATCGTAAAAGGTAATTGAAGGAACTTGCATAATTAATTTGCATTTACAAGGTGTTAGAAAAGTCTCTGTTAGAAACGGTCAATTATCTCCGAAAATAGTGGTTCTGTGGGAAAATGTTTCAGACAAAAGTTGTACGATTTTGAGTGACGCATTACACGGTAATATTACTATGACCTTGAAGAGTGTTGATAAGGTTACGTGAAGGTCATCTTAAATTTCTCAAATGGAACCCCCTATTTTTAATTACATATTCTTGTAACTTACCTCGAGAGCTTTTCAAAACACTATAATAAAGTATTTCTTCATTGAGTACTTTTCGAGTTATGAGGCTTGAAATCATTTCTTAATTTTGCATAAATCATAAAATATCTAGTAAAATATTCATTTTTCGATTATCTTACCTTAATACTTTTATGTACAAAATAATGAGAGGAATCAATTGGTGTAAAGAAAATTTGCAATTAACAATTACATATTTTTTCTTCGAAACAACTATGTGTTTTCTTTACACCAATTGATTCCTCTCATTATGTTGTACATAGAAGTATTAAGGTAATAGAATTAATAAGATAATAAAAAAATGAATATTTTACAAGATATTTTACGGTTTATGTAAAATTAAGAAATGATTTCAAGCCTCATAATTTGGAAAGTGCTTAATGAAAACTAACTTAATTATAGTGTTTTGGAAAGCTCTCGAGATAAGTTACAAGAATATGTAATAAAAAATAGGGGATTCTGTTTAAGAAATTGAAGGTGATCTTGACGTGACCTTAACAACACTCTTCAATGTCATAGTAATATCACTGTGTAATGCGTCACTTAAAACCCTACAACTTTTGTCTGAAACATTTTCCCAGAGGACCACTATTTTCGAAGATAATTGACCGTTTCCAGACTTTTCTAACACCCTGTATATATTTGTTTATATGCACGTACATATTTGTGTATACAGGGTATTTCCGGACATTTGCGACAAATATAAGGGGAGATAGATCTCGATAAATGGAACAATTTTTGTTAAGCAACCCTTAAGGAGGCATCGCCGGACACGAGTTGCTTAACAAAAATTGTTCCCTTTATCGAGATTTATCTCTTTAAGTTTCGCAAATGTCCGGAAATACCCTGTATAATCATTAAAAAAAAATCTGTATTTTTTTCTCAAACTGATCAATCAGAAAAGATTTTATATTAGAATATAGTAAGTAAATATATTGTCGCTTCCTTTGGATACAGATTTCCTTCGGAACCACCGCCGCAGGGATCTCACGGCTCCACTAGTCCGCAATTGTTGATTTCCCGTTTCGCGCACCAGTTAAAGCAAGAGTCACCGCCATCGTCGCTAACGGTGTCATCGCAACAGAGTATGGGTTCCAAGGAATCAGCGAAGAAGCGTTTCGCATCTTACGTGCGCCTCAGACTCGGTAGCGAACGCGCTCCTTCGCCGGAGCCACCACCGAGACTAAGTCGCGGCGAGTCCCCGCTCGCCCTTAGGAGGAACTTAATTGACCAGGCGTCTCCTTCTTGTCCACGAAGGTACGGACGGCTTTCAATCGTTTACTTGTTAAAAAACAGGGTTGGCATGTTTTAAACAATGCGTTTAAAACAGTTTGATTAAAACTTGTTTAAAACAGTGTCCACTGTTTTAAACATTTTTGTTTTAAACTGTTTTAAACTACAATTTAGAACCGTTTAAAATATCGCAAATAAAATATATGATTATTTGGAAAAGAAATTGTAAAAAAAATCAAAAACAAACAAAAACTAATAGATGTGTATATTGCAAAAAAGTTTTTGTTTTAGCGTTTTTAATTTTTTATCTATATTTATGTAACATATAGATATAAAAATATAAATAATAAAATAAAAATGATAAGATGGATATTATTATAGCAGAATATTTATTTTTGGATATTAAATAACAATTAATACAATAAAGATTACTTAGAAGATATTGACTGACTTTACATTTTTTAAATTAATAGTACACAACTCATAGCAGGTCAGTAGTTCTAAAAAAAAGTTCTTTTAAAAAGAAGAATTGAGGTTTTTTATTTTTCTTTTATTTATAATTTATGTTGAGAGTTAAGCATGAGGATTACTTAAGAATAGGAAAGGAACCAAAATATTATATATTAAATATTATTAACTAGAACTTTTTTTCTCCAAAAATAAATAACTCCAAAAACAAATATTTTGCTAAAATAATACTCATTTTATCATTTTTATTTTATTATTTATATTTTTAATAGCGTTGTCAATTTTGGCAACGTTATTTACAGTTTAACGCTAGCGAAAAATTTAAATATTTACACAGATCAAAGCTATTAAGTGGTTTTTGCTTGTTTAAAACATGCTTTTTTTGTTTAAAACATGTTTTTTTTACTTTACTTAAAAACACAAATAAAACAAAAAACATTGTTCTAAACAAAAAAAAGCAATGTTTTTGGTTTAAAATAAAAAAAAAACAAGTTTTTGCCAACCCTGTTAAAAAATAATATTTCTGACAATTATCAATTATTTCTTAATAATATGTGAAAAAATGCAATAACGAATAATTTGGCTTTTTCAAGGTACGTCTCGCCTTCTCCACCTCAGCCACCGCCTAGAAGATTATCGGAGAGCAATTCGGTGCCTGGCAGTCCGCAGCATGTGCGAGCTCGTTTGCGTTACACGCCCGAGCCTCAAAGGAGACCTCCGCCGCCATAACCCACCGCTACAATCATTAAGCCTTATTATTATTATTTCTTGTTGGTGCCATACGCGATTACGGACACCCGGACAGCGATCACGTGCACTACGTAGTAGCTAGGTTACTCTTGCGCGCACAGAGCGAGTCACAAAATGTGTACGCAAAAAACATATTCTCGAACGCTGTAAACCAAAAAAAAGAAAAAAAAAACACATGGAGAAGCATGTTCTTAATACTCGAGCCGCCGCGAATTCTTGTTGTACGCGAGTCGAACACTTGTATGAGGGAACGTTGATTTAGCGTGCGAAACGGCTGAAATGATGAAAAAGTATTTGACCTTAATTTCTTCTCAAACGTTTTTCGATTTGCAGACGCTTCAAATCGCGAAAATTGCCTTAAGACATTTGACGACTTACTAGCTAGCTAGTGAATACTTCAGGTTTCTAATTGAAAGATATTTTCTGAATTTCTTATTGATGTTAGAACATAGAAGAGAACGAAACGTGTTTTCCCGAGTTTAAAACGCTTCACACGCTAAACTCGTAAATATAAACTTTTACACGGTTAAAGTCCTTAGCTATCTCGGTTAACTAATTCTGGCGAAGAGTTAGGGTGAAAAGATACAGTGAAAAAAAAACCACAAAAAGGTTACGTAAATTAATTCCTAGAAAATATTCCAATTATAAAATTATCATTGGCATAAATTCAGGCCCGTAATCGGGGGGGTGGGGGATGAGGGCATTGCCCCTCTTAGGGACTTTATTTGCCCCCCCTGTCAAATTTTTATCTTATTTGTTTCCTAATGCTCTGCATATTTAAGGGCACTAGGCAGTAAAAGAATTTTTTTTCTTTCATTTTTAGAAACTATTATGTTTCCTAAGAATTTTCAATAACGAGACAACTCGAAAATTACAATTATTTTAACGTTTTAACTTGATTGTAATTTTATATTATTGGTATTTCTTATGAAATATTGCGTCGATATTTAAATAATAAAAAATAATGTATTTTGTGCATTGGAAAAGAGTTTTTGAGACTGCCCCACCTAGAATTTTACCCCCTCTAACATAACGGGCTGATTACGGGCCTGCATAAATTGTCGGCGTGAAACAATTTTTTTTTTATTTTGACTATTTTTTGCGATCTAATAAATGGCAAGAAATTAATTACTTTAACTAGAGAATTAATGTTAACCGAGGGACGCTCTTTCGAGCGCACGTTTCACATAAGCGAGGGAATCGTTCGCACTGCAATCTTAACTGCAGATAGTCCTTGTGACATTTGCACTCCTTCGCTATCACGAAACACAAATCTTTCATCAATAATCCTCTTGACGTATATTTATCGATAGTACGCAACAGGAAAAATACGATGCTCAACTTTTTATATCGCTTGGGTATTAAAGAAGTACATACAGTGTTAGAGAAATGATGGAGTGTGGCATTAATCGTGATAAGCCGCGACGTTTTTTCTAAGAAATGAAAAAAATGCATCAATAAACGTATATAGAGAATATAATGAGGTCGTACGTGAAAGTGCGTAAACCGTTCCTATCGTTCTTCGTTTACGCTTTTTTCAGTCAATCTTGAGAATCTTGTCATACGAAGAAGAAAGAGAGAAAGAATAAAATGCGCAACGAAATTCGCTCTCTTTTTTCGGATGGCCTTGTGATGTATCTCTGCGACTCGAATTGCAATTTCTCTCTTTTCCTCCCTCTCTCTCTCTCTCTCAGCGACTTTTCCACATTTTATTATTAATATTTAAATTAATTATTAAATTAATATTAAATTTATTATTATTAATTATTATTAAATTAATATTATTATTAATTAATATTAAATTAATTATTATGAGAGATTATTGTATTATTTATATAAGTAATATTAAATGTGAGAGTGTAATAAATCATTCACGATACGTAGTCCAATGTCGAGATTGAGAGCGCGAATCGAATTGAGAGAGATATTATCATTCACATGATTTTTCTTTATGACAAGGAGAAAAAAAACGAAAGCACAACAATGTCGCAGAAGCACGTCTTGTAGAGTCCTACTACGAAGCACGAATGTATATTAATTATTTAATTGGGACGACGTGCAAGGCGTCATATATACATACATACAAATACACATACACACGCATACATGATTAGAATGTTGTAATTATTATTTTTAATTAACATTTGTAATCCTTAATTACGTTCAAGTCTACACTCGTAATCACCTTTGTCATTTATTTGACAAAAGGACCTGTTGCAATGTAAATAAACTTATATTTATACGAGCCATATTGTTCTTTCACATTTTTTCTCCCATTTATATTAATATTCCTCATATAAATTAAAGCTATAAAAATTGTTTATTATTCTCTTCATGTTTTTTATTATTTCTCTATGTTTTTTTATTATTTTCAATCGGCAATTATATATTTTAATTATATCTTATATAATATATTATATCTTATATAATTATTTCTTATTACTCGTTATATCATAGCAATGATAAATATTTTATGAATTTTGTTGCATGTAGAAAAACATGCTTCCTTTTTTGATATTTTCTAAATATAAAAAAAATTTTCTAAATATTCTAAAAAAATTGATTAGAATAATGATCAAATAAATAAGAAATAAATAATATAAAAAATTGATGTTTTATATTATTTATTTTATATTTATTTTATCATATATTATTTATTAATTGATTGAAAAATGCATTTTCTAGCATATTCTAATCAAATTTTTATATTTAAAAAATATAAAAAAAACGTTCTACATTTAATAGAATTCATAAAATATTTATTATTGTTATACTATGATTATAGATATATGATCTATATAAGTGTGAAGTATATAACATAAGTAAAGAACTCACTGTTACATAATGTATTTCTTATCAAAGAGAATTAAACCGAGTCTTAAATTATTTTTAAACATTTTTCCGATTTAATAATGCACATTTATTATTATCATTTAGACTATTTTAATTAATTTTTCTTTTTCAGATTTAATTCAATAAGATACACATTTAATTTATCACTGCCATGTTATGTACGATTACTAAGCAAAATAGATAAGATGGAATAGATAAGAAAATCATGACGTATTGAAAAATTTATTGAACAATTAAATTATTATTTAAGAAGAAATTTGAAACAAAACTGCAAAAAAAAAAGAACAGAAAAATATGCAAAAATTTATACATCAATATTTGAAAGCAAAAATTATACATGAAAGTGTACAACTATTTTTCGCCGAAATATATAATATAAATAGTAAAATTTATTACGATGTTACTTAAACAAATATAAAAGAAATCTCAGGGTCAAACAATTAAATAATTAATAATAAATAATAATAATAATTAATAATTAATTTTTTTTATCTTAAAAATTTACAACAACGTGAATATCTTCGCCGAGCTTTTTATTCGTGCGTTTTCCTCCTAGAAAAAAATACACGTTCCTTTGCCAGTCTTTAGAAAAGAGTGAAACCTTGCTCGCGTATCTCTTTTTATCTTCTACAGCGCCCGGAATTCTTACACATTTAACGCCGAGCGTTCGGTCGAAGTGTATATTTTTATCGTATCATGCCACGTAATCTCTAAGCAACTTTTTTGCTGACGGCTCATGCGCATTGAGCGACAATAGATTTTTCAACTCTACGCTCAAGCAATATGTCACGATTGCATTAATTTGTATTCTTTTGCGAGTTAATTGAATTTCGGTTGCGGCCGAACCTCGCAACAGTCGTTAAACGCCACGTTTTCTCGTTATGCAACTTGTGAGCGTCTCCCTCGATAGCAAAGGACGGACCGTTTTATTGTTAGAATAGATAGAAATAAAAAAGGAATAAAAAAAAGGAATAAATCGAGAGGAGTCGCATATTAATATAAAATTATACAGGGTGTCTCAAAACTCAATGAATTTTTCAAAGACAGATTCCTGGGATCATTTGGAGACGATTTTTCCTCAGCGAAAAAGTCGATGAAGGCCATCATTTTTTGCATGTTCCCGATTTTTGTCATCATATATCTTTGCAATTAAGTCTTAAATTAAAATTCAACTAAAGTAAACTATATTTAAAATTAATCGAAGAATGTGGTTTTATTAATATTTTATTTCTACAAAGCTTAGTTTATGAAAAACTTCTTATCTCCAATCACTTATAATTCGAAAATTATTAGTGCCTGGACATTTTCGTTGAGGAAAAATCGTCTTCAGATGATCCCAGGAATCTGTCTTTTTTTGAAAGATTCATTCTGAGTTTTGAGACACCCTATATAATATACTAATGTGACATATACACATGTGAATAAAAATCGCTTAATTTTGCAAGGATTTTCAGTCCAAATATATATATACATATACATATATATATATATATATATATATATATATATATATATATATATACAGGGTGTCACTTAATTGGCGCTCACTATTTATATAGCGACATTCCTCGTGGAAAACTGAGTCGAAAAGTCCTGAACCATTTTTTTCTATAATGAAAAAAATTTGAAATCATTTTTTTTCGAAACCATTTTTTTCTTCTATAATGCGAAAAACTTTATTTTGCATTAAAAATCATATTTCTTCCGTTAAAAGCGTTTCCTTAAAGAAAATTTCGTCAAGGAGGCTATTATATATATATATATATATATATATATATATATATATATATATATATATATAATAAATATATAATAAATAAAAAGAAAATGAAACTGAATAAATTTCTTGAAAAAAACGATAAAAATAAAAAATAAACATCTTTGTCTTTTATCAAAATAAAATAATTTTTTTTAAACTAATGTTTAGTAATAACATGTAATAGTAGAAAATTAATAAAGACGTTTTTCAAGAAATTTATTTAGTTTCATTTTCCTTTCATTTTATTTTCTTTTCACTTTTTGCTCTTCCTTCATCAGAGATTTTTGAGCGATAACTTCTTAAGGAAGCATTTTTCGACCCATGTTTATAGGAAATTTTTTGTTCAGAATTAAATTTTCGATAAGATCTCAAAGTCTGGCTGGAATGTTCGGGGCCACCCTGTATATATATATATATATATATATATATATATATATATATATATATTGCGTTCCAAGGGAATGATCTTCAACTCTCGTCTTCAACTCTCGTCTTAATCTATGAATTTTTTTCTTTGCAAGAAAATTATGCTGCGAAAATGATCGATAACGAGCGATGAAAACAACTGGCGAGGATCGGTCGTAACACAGTCGACTTTGAATTGAACAATTAAGAGTTAATAAAGCTCTCGGTTCATTCTCACAATAATATACGCATATGTGTGCTCGATACGGGCAGGGAGAGAGAGAGAGAGAGAGAGAGAGAGAGAGAGGGAGGGAGGGAGGGAGGGAGGGAGGGAGAGAGAAAGAGAGAGAGAGAGAGAGAGAAGAATTTACTTCGTTCTCGTCGGATTCGAACGTGCGTTTAAATCGCGTGTATATACTATGCAAAATAGACCCGACGCGAGAGAATTTTATCTACATAGGCAATGGCCTCTTAATGGCTTCGTATGCTTCCTCTTCTTGTCACCCGCTGTCAAAGTAGCCTCGTTGCTCGAGGAGCCGGATGATCCGGTTGAAGGCATCGTTTCTCACTTAATTTAATCCATTGAACACCGAAGCCCAGGTAGAACATGAAACTCACAATGACATTATTGATGACGTCACCTAAAAGTCACCTAAAAGTTTTTAGAAAAATCATAATAATGATCTCATTTGATATACTTTCGACAATGTTTCGGTGACTTGCTAATATCATTTTACATATATATATATATATATATATATATATATATATATATATACAGGGTCTACCAAAAGTGTGGAAACCCCTAAATATCTCGGAAAATATACGTTTTACAGAAAAGTGTTTCCAACAAAAGTTGTAGGGTTTAAGAAGATCTATATACTGATTCTATCAGTTTGACCTTGGATGGCGTCGTCAAGGTCAGGTCAAGGTCACATTGACTTTTTTAAATGACACCCCCTACATTTGATTGCATATTCTTATAGCTTAATTCAAGAGCTTTCCAAAACACTATAATAATGTTCATTTTTATTAAGTACTTTGCGAGTTATGAGGGTTGAAATAATTTCTTAATTTTACATAAACCATAAAATATCTAGTAAACCATTCATTTTTCGATTATCTTACCTTCATACTTTTATGTACAAAATAATGAAAGGAATCAATTGGTGTAAAGAAAACATACAGTTGTTTTTAAGAAAAAATATGGAATTGTTAATTGCAAATTACATATTTTTTCTTAGAAACAACTATGTGTTTTCTTTACACCAATTGATTCCTCTCATTAATTTGTACATAAAAGTATGAAGGTAAGATAATCGAAAAATGAATGGTTTACTAGATATTTTATGGTTTATGTAAAATTAAGAAATTATTTCAACCCTCATAACTCGCAAAGTACTTAATAAAATGAACATTATTATAGTGTTTTGGAAAGCTCTTGAATTAAGCTATAAGAATATGCAATCAAATGTAGGGGGTGTCATTTAAAAAAGTCAATGTGACCTTGACCTGACCTTGACGACGCCATCCAAGGTCAAACTGATAGAATCAGTATATAGATCTTCTTAAACCCTACAACTTTTGTTGGAAACACTTTTCTGTAAAACGTATATTTTCCGAGATATTTAGGGGTTTCCACACTTTTGGTAGACCCTGTATATATATATATATATATATATATATATGTGTATATATATATTACGCAATTACTTGTTTATTTAATTATTCGTGTATATTCTAATTATATTTAAGCAACATAATCTTATTAAAATTATATAATGCGATTATTGAACTTAAAAATTTATCATTTTTTTTGTCTCATCTTTACAGTGTTTGCTGGTATCTAGATAAAATTATCTAGATAATCATCTAGATAAAGAAATGGATCATCTTTATCTTTAACTAGATGAAGAAATACAAAGTATCTTTATCTTTATCTTAGATGAAAAATATATGTCATCTTATCTAAAAATTGTCTACGATAACGTTTTCATTATGCAAAAATGTTTTCCAGGCAAGCTTCTAAAAATCTATCTAAAATATCTAAAATATATTTTTTATATTATTATTATTAATATATTATAAATATATTACAAATATATTATAAATATAAATTAATAAATAAATATTTATCATATCATTTATATACCTTTTTGCTATTATTTCTTTATAATATTAAATATTCTTTAGGAAAAGAGAAAGAATATGTGTTTATGATTTTAATATCCCATTTATAATCTGCGTCACATTTTTTACAAATATTTATAGTCTTCTAAAATAAACAAAAATATCTGGATAATTATCTCATCTTTCATCTAGATTAAATAAAAGTAAAATCATCTTTATCTCATCTAAGATAAATTTAAGGATTTTTATCTTTATCTTTATCTAGATAATTTTGAAATTATCTACAGCAAACACTGGAGATTGATAAACGCGAGGCCATAGGATCGTGGAGAAGAAAATTCGATTCCTTTTGGATCGCCGTCCCTGAGCAATCAATATGGCCTCCAGCCATCGCCAGCGCGGCCATCTCTCTCTCTCTCTCGCTCGCCAGCGCGGCCGTCTCCCTCTCTCTCTCGCTGGCCAGCGCGGCCATCTTTCTCTCTCTCTCGCTCCGCCTCGAGGAACTCGAGCGCGGTTGGGCCGCGCCGCGATCGTCATCGTCGATTCGATTAGTCGGTTCGGGGGTCCTCGATTCGATCGGAGCAACGTTCAGGAAGGACCCGGAGCCAACGAGACGCGAGGCCTTCGTTCCTACCTTCGCACCAGTGGGAGCGAGAGAGAGAAGGAGCAGCGTCCCGCCATCGGTGGCGGAGGATCAACGAGTCCTCCTCGTTGCCGATGCACACGTCGTCAGGCTGAGGTCGGGAAACGGGGTGTCAGAAGTCTCCCCGGGGTAAGGTACCCGCGAGAGAGAAGAAATATCGCGAGGATACCCGAGGATGTAGAAGATACCTGGACCTACCGGTAACCCAGGCTCAAGATGAGGTACGTCTGTGGGTGTCCGAGTTGTTGTTCGTCAAAGCCTCGACGAAGCTGTCGTTCGTAGCAGGTATGGCCGACGTCGCGCCCGAGGGCGACAGCGGGCTCGTCGTCGCGACGACCGAGGGTTGCCGAGCGCTGCCGGTAACGCAGGCTGGCGGCGAGGATGGCGCGACCGCGACCGACAACGGGGTCGTCGACGACAAGGTCAGCATCCACGAGATCCTCGAGGGCATGACGAATGAGTTTAATAAGGGCGTGAGTCCTGGGAAGCCTAAGGATGATGATAAGGCGGAGGTGGAGGAGGTGGTGGTAACGCCAGCATCGCCGTCGAGGGTCCAGGACGAGGTGTCCAAGGGAGAGGAGCGCGATGGCACTCCCGAGATGGAGGTTGTCGCGAGCTCCGAGGACGTGGCGGTCCCTCAGGTCGACAGAGAGGAGAATCACAGGAGCGAGGATGAGGCCTCGACGACGACAAATAGGCAGGAGACGGTTAAGAAGGATAACGGGATACCTAGGATCGTCTTGACGTTCAGGACTATTGATGAGAATACGGATCATGGCAAGAAGACCAAGATATCCAGTTGTTCTTCTAATCTGACTCTAGTCCCGGATGAATTGGCCAATTGCGACCAGATTGGTGGGGTCTCTGTGAAGATAGAGAACTCGGATGAGAATTCTGATATGGTGGAAGAATCCCAGGCGGAGGAAACGAAGAAGGAGAAATCTATAAAAATTGCAGAGCTGAAAGCTGTGGATGAAGATCAAGCGAAGGATGCAGAAGAGAAACAAAGTAGTGATGCGCAGGCTTCTGTTGAAAATAAGCCTGAAGAGACTGTAGAGAATAATGTTGAAGTCAATAATGTCGAGGCCAAGCTTGGAGAAGATACGGAGCAGCAACAAGAAACAACAACAGCGCCAGTTACTAGGAAGAGAAGAATTGGGAGACCTAGATTACGAGCCCTTAGGTTTTGTTTTTTTTTTATTTATCATTAAATTAAATATTTTTTATTTATCATTAAATTAAATATTTACATGTGCAATATTTATATTATATTTATATTATATTATATTTATTTATATTATTATATTTATTATATATTTATTATTTTAATATTTATTATTATATTTATTTATTATATATTTATTATATATTTATTATTTTTTTATATTATTTATTATTTATCATATTTCTTATTATATTTGATTTTATAATTTATTATTTATTATATTTTATTTTTATTTATTATATTATTTATTATTTATTATATTTATTATATATTTATTATTTTTATATTTATTATTATATTTATTTATATTTATATTATATTATATTATATTATTATATTATATTAATTTATATTCTAAAATCTTTCTCGTTTTCAGTGATTCGGTCCCTCAGGACGAGGAACCACCAGGTCCCAAGCGCTCGGCTAGAAGACTTTGCAAAGAATCTTTGAAGAGTACTGTTCTGGAGAGTGCCATGGCACGTAAAGAGAAGTCCAACTACACCGAGGAACATTTGCAATTTAAAAAGAGGAAGTACAGCAAACCAGGTCGGCCCAAGAAGTTGGTTTCAGGCAAAGATCAGATTAAACAGACGCAAGCAAAGCCCTCTGATGTTCGTCAAGAAGCGGAGACCTCGCTCGTGTCCGATGGTAACATTAGCACGTCTGACAGCTCGATGCTAGAATCCTCACGTAATGCTATACTATCGGAGAATATGAATGACAGCGTCGTGGAGAACACGCAGTCACTCTCATCCGATTTTGACGGAATGCCGAAATTATCGCCTATGACGAGGAGCTCGGAATCACAAGTGAAACTCGGTAACTCCATCGGCAGTCCTGTTAGCGATGATGTACCTTTGGCGGATATTCAGAAGCCTTTCCTGAAACCGGCCACTGCTAGTCGACCCAAGAGGGAGAGAGGGCGTCCTCGCGGAAGCACTCAGGCCGCGCGAAAAATAGCGAAGGCGGATCCGTATGAAGGTAATATCGTGTATATGTGTGTAACAATATTTTTCTGTTATATAACTGTTTTTAATTAAAATTAATTAAATTAAATTATTTATTAAATTAATTTAATTAAATTATTTATTAAATTAATTCAATTAAATTATTAAATTAATTCAATTAAATTATTTATTAAATTAATTCAATTAAATTATTTATTAAATTAATTTAATTAAATTATTTTGCAGACGGTTCTCCAACCGTTGCGGAAGCGGGGAAAAATAACGATTATCCTGAAGGTAACAGTCTAAAAAATAAAATTTTATGGATAATGTAGGGCAAATAAAAGTAAATTTAAATTAAAATATTTTTACTATATAAAATTTTATAGCAAAAATATTGTTTTACATTTTTTGTTCCTATTTTCTCAGATTAATTAAAAATAACACATTGATAATATTTATGAGTTTTTGATAACGCAACTAAATTTCTTTGAAACATAGCAAACATAGTATACGTGTGTTGAATACAAAATTAGTTCTCTTTCTATAAAAAGAAATTAACATAGATGTTATTTATAATATAAATATATATAAATTTAATCAATAATAATATTCCATGAAATAAACATGTTTCTAACTATAATTTTTACTTTTAATAAATTATAAATTTGTTTCGCCTCCTTCCACATTCCTTTTTATTTTATTATCAAATAGCTCTATTATCAACTATTTATTATCAATTGTTTTATTATATCTTTACTACCAATTTTATTATTGTTATTGTCATACATTACATGATACACATTTAAAAATATTAAATGGCATTTTAGGCAAATATATTTTAACTGTTTTCTACTTATCACATTTTGCTTCTTTTTTCAGAATTTATTGTATAAAGAAAACATAAACAATTTCAAGTTTTTGTTCTCTATGAATATATCACTATATCTAAAGCATTGTGCATGCGAATGTATCTACGAAAACTTAAAAAACATTATCAATGTGTTATCTTTATAATTAAATAGTTGTATTTTTATACAGGGCCCCGAACGTTCCAGACTTTGAGATCTTGTAGGAAATTTAATTCTGAACAAAAAATGTCGAATAAACATGGGTCGAAAAATGCTTCCTTAAAAAGTTATCGCTCGAAAACCTCTGATGAAGGAAGAGCAAAAGGTGAAAAGAAAATAAAACTAAATAAATTTCTTGAAATAAACGATAAAAATAAAAATCTTTTTCTTTTGTGAAAATAAAGTAAAAGTTAGTTAAAAAAAAAATTATTTTATTTTCATAAAAGAAAAAGATTTTTATTTTTTATTTTTATCGTTTTTTTCAAGAAATTTATTTAGTTTCATTTTCTTTTTATTTCACATTCTTTTTCTTTTCACCTTTTGTTCTTCCTTCATCAGAGGTTTTCGAGCGATAACTTCGTACGCAGGCATTTTTCGACCCACGTTTATAGGAAATTTTTTGTTCAGAATTAAATTTCCTCTCAAAGTCTGGCTGGAACGTTCGGGACCACCATGTATATTGAGAATGTTTTATTGAAACTTTAATATAGAAATCCCAGTTAAACGAACTCGTCGGAGTATGATACCGAGTCCGAGTCCCGCGGAAGGACAAGCTTCGAAGCCGGAATCTACGGCGATCATGAGTGAAGTCAGTAACCATATTTTTCGCATTCATATTTTTCATTAATACAAAAATAAAAAGATTCTTATTGTCCTTTCTATTTTAGACGTATGTGCAATCCATGCTATGCTTGTGCCAAGTACGATCTCAGTTGTACGTGACGATAACCGGTTCCGGGGCACCGCTGTATTGCACCGCCATAGATTCAATCGACAACCGGATAGTGGGATGCTGCAACGAAGTGGACAGTAACGACGTGGCGATGCGGCGACCAAGCACCCGCGTACCTTTTATCATTCTTTGTCGTATGCATAAGGAACGGTTGCTGCGTCACAATTGCTGCCCTTCCTGCGGCCTGTTTTGTTCGCAAGGCAGATTTGTGCAGTGCACCAATGGCCATCAGTATCACCGCGAATGTGAAATCTATCCAAACAAGAAGGGCGTGTGTCCGCACTGCGGCAGCGAAACTGCTGCTTACGATGTGCTGGTGACGATGAACGGCATGCGACGACCGGTATATATACCCACGCGTAAAAAATTTTCGAAATTGCCTTCAGCGAAGATGAGCTTACCTGGTAAAGGTGACAACACAAAATTGGCCGAGCGTCCACCTAGTCCATTAATTAAACCAGATATCATCAAAATACCTGAACCGTCGATTAATACTGAGAGACCAGAGCGTTATACTATTATGAGTCTTTACACGTCCGTGAAAAATGGAGATCTGGAAAAATTGGTCAATGTACTAGGTAAGTGAAATCCTGATTAAAAAACTTTTTTTTTTACTTTAATTAAATTTATGAAATAAAATTTCTTGGAAATTGGAAACACTTTTTTTTTTTTTTCATTTAAAAAATTTTCTTTACAGGGTATTTCATTTTAATTTCTCGAGGCAAATATTTCGGAAAATAATGAAAAATCGAAAAAAAAATTTCAGACAAAAGTTGTATGGTTTCTAGGGGGACATAAGATGGTACCATTAATTTGACCTTGAAGAATCACGTGAAGGTTACGTGAAGGTCATTTTGAATTTCTTAAATGGAACACCCTATATATTTTTGCATCTTGTAGTTCATCTCGAGAGCTTTCCAAAACACTATAATTAAGTAGTATTTAGTTTTCATTAAATACTTTCGGAGTTATGAGGCTTGAAATTATTTCTTAATTTACATAAATCGTAAAATATCTTGTAAAATATTCATTTTTCGATTATCTTATCTTAATACTGTTATTTATAAAATAATAAGAGGAATCAATTGGTGTAAAGAAAACACATAATTGTTTTGAAAGAAAAAATATAATTAGCAATTAACAATTACATTTTTTTTTCGAAACAATTATGTGTTTTCTTTACACTAATTGACTCCTCTCATTATTTTGTACATAAAAGTATTAAGGTAATCGAAAAATGAATATTTTACGGTTGATGTAAAATAAAGAAATAATTTCAAGCCTCATAACTCGGAAAGTATTTAATGAAAACTAACTTAATTATAGTGTTTTGGAAAGTTCTCGAGATAAGCTACAAGAATATGCAAAAATATATAGGGTGTTCCATTTAAGAAATTCAAAATGACCTTCACGTAACCTTCATGTGAGTCTTAAAGATCTTGTGTCCCTCTAGAAACCATATAACTTTTGTCTGAAACATTTTTTCGATTTTTCATTATTTTCCGAAATATTTGCCTCGGGAAATTAAAATGAAACACCCTGTATAATCTTTCAATCTAGATTTTATGCGAATATTGGAAATATCTATATATTTTGATAACATAAACATTTATATTGTAATACGAATTTGCAATTCCTAGCATGTGGTTACAATGCAAATCACACATTCCGGGATTACGCCCATCGAACTGGTCTACACATAGCAGCGGATAAAGGTCATCTGTCATGTGTGCACGTTTTGGTTCAAGCGGGTGCTCAAGTAGATGTAATGGATAGGAATCAATTGACGCCATTGATGTTAGCCGCGAGTAAGGGTAATGCCTCTGTGGTAAAATATTTAGTTAGGACAGGCGCCGACGTGACATTGAAGGGCGAGGATGGCATGACCGCTTTGCACATGGCAGCCAAGTCCGGTCATCTAGAAGTATGCAAGATCATTCTGACCGAATGTAAAGTACCGAGAACATTAGTAGGTAAGCTAGTGTCAAGCTCATATCTGGATAGGAAATTTTTTTTTTTATAAAAAGTATTTCTCTTCTTTCGAAAATACTTACGTAAATAAAATTTTAACGTATTGATAAATCATTTTTAAATATACATGATACATGAAAATATTGTGGACCTTGGAGAAATAAAAATTCATGATTGAACAAAATTTATATAATAAACTTAAATAAATAAAATAATTGTTTTATATTTGGAATTTTTATTTGCAGATTCTGTAGACGATGGCGGCTGGACGAGTTTAATTTGGGCATGCGAATTTTGCCATGCGGATGTAGCGCGTTATTTATTAGATAAAAAGTGCGATCCACTTATTCGAGACGCCGAGCAGAACATAGCGTTGCACTGGAGCGCATATAGTGGCAGTCCTGAGATCACAGAGATGCTTCTTAACGAAGGATGTGATGTGAATGCTGTCAATGTTCACGGTGATACTCCCTTGTACGTTTTGCATTTTTTTTTTGAAAATTGTGCTCCTAATCATATTAAACGAGCAGAAAAGATAAAAATATTAGTTAAAACGAGAGATAATTGTTTTATAAATAAATTGAACGAATTTTGTGAGAGATGATTCTTTTTAAAATTATAAAATAATTTTCTTTTATCTTAGACACATAGCAGCTAGACAAGATCAATATGCAGTCAGTGTTCTACTATTAGCACGTGGTGCTAAAATAGGTGAAGTGAATGCTGCCGGCGAGACCGCGGTAAATTGTTGCACCACGGATGGCGATACTATGGCTGCTTTGAGGTTGAATGCAAAGGTCAATGAACTTTCTGAACATATGTGGGAGAAAACAGTTAAAATATTAACCAAGTAAGATTTAAAAAAATATTGTTATTTGTAAGAATAAAATAAATGAATATATAATTTTATCTTTGATGATAAATTGCTCTTAGTTTATTTTTATTAGTTTAATATAGTTACGCATATATTAAGATTTTATTATATTATACTTTTGTAAAAAAAGATTGCTTCTATTAATTTAGTATTGAAATTTATAATTTATAATTTATTGCATTATATATATGTATACTGAATAAAGCTTTATATGCCTGATTCTTTATTAATTATTTTACTATTTTCATTCTTTTTACAGTGACATTTCACGGGGAAAGGAAACAAATCCTATACAATGCGTTAATGGATACGATTCCGAAGATAAACCAACAGATTTTCTTTATGTAACAGAAAATTGCTTCACTAGTAATATTAATGTAGATCGTACGATAACGTCATTACAGTCTTGTCGCTGTGAGGACAATTGTAGTTCTGAAAAGTGTTTGTGTGGAAATATAAGTTTACGATGTTGGTACAATGAAGAGGGGAAGCTTATACCTGAGTTTAATTATACAGGTATCTATTTATATTATGATTTTTAAGAACAAAGAAAGCTTTAAAATAATTTATATATAATATATACAGGGTGTCCCAAAAGTCCCGGACCGATCGAATATTTCATAAACTATGCACTTTAGAAACAAATGTTTCAAACAAAAGTTGTATGGCTTGAAGGGGACCATCAGATAATGGCAATGATTTGACCTTGGAGAGTCATTTGAAGGTGACGTAAAGGTCATCTTCAATTTCTTAAATGGAACTCCCTATTTTTTATTACATATTCGTGTAGCTTATCTCAAGAGATTTCCAAAACACTATAATAAAGTATTTCTTCATTGATCTACTTTTCGAGTTATGAGGCTTGAAATCCTTTCTTAATTTTGCATAAACCATAAAATATCTAGTAAAATATTCATTTTTCGATTACCTTAATACTTTTATATACAAAATAATGAGAGGAATCAATTGGTGTAAAGAAAACACATAGTTGTTTTAAAAAAAATATGTAATTGTTAATTGCAAATTACATATTTTTTTTTAAAAACAACTATGTTTTTTTTTACACCAATTGATTCCTCTCATTATTTTGTACATAAAATTATTAAGGTAAGATAATCGAAAAATGAATATTTTACTAGATATTGTATGGTTTATGCAAAATTAAGAAATGATTTAAAGCCTCATAACTAGGTAAGATAATCGAAAAATGAATATTTCACAAGAAAACACATAGTTGTTTTAAAAAAAATATGTAATTGTTAATTGCAAATTACATATTTTTTTTTAAAAACAACTATGTTTTTTTTTACACCAATTGATTCCTCTCATTATTTTGTACATAAAATTATTAAGGTAAGATAATCGAAAAATGAATATTTTACTAGATATTGTACGGTTTATGTAAAATTAAGAAATGATTTCAAGCCTCATAACTTGAAAAGTACTCAATGAAGAAATATTTTATTATAGTGTTTTGGAAAGCTCTCGAGATAAGCTACACGAATATGTAATAAAAAATAGGGAGTTCCATTTAAGAAATTGAAGATGACCTTTACGTCACCTTCAAATGACTCTCCAAGGTCAAATCATTGCCATTATCTGATGGTCCCCTTCAAGCCATACAACTTTTGTTTGAAACATTTGTTTCTAAAGTGCATAGTTTATGAAATATTCGACCGGGATTTTGGGACACTCTGTATAATATATATCTGGGACTTTTGGGACACTCTGTATAATATATATAATATATAATATAAAATAATTTATGTATAATAATCCAACCAATCTGGTAATAATTTATAAAAGTTTTTAAAATTAAAATAAATATATATATTCTCATTATAGATCCACCAATGTTGTTCGAATGTAACCCAGCTTGTGACTGTAACCGTATTACATGCAACAATCGAGTAATTCAGCACGGATTGACGCAGAGGTTCCAATTGTTTCGTACAAAGGGCAAAGGTTGGGGCCTCCGAACTCTCCGACATATTCCTAAAGGCACTTATGTCTGCGAATATGTGGGCGAGATAATCTCCGATTCCGAAGCTGATCATCGGGAGGATGATTCCTACTTATTTGATTTGGATAATAGAGTACGTTGTATTCTTTTTTTTATGACTTTAACTTGGAAATGAGGAAATTAAGTTGCAAATATTTTTGTTACACCCGTTTTTTCTCTTAATATTATTTTATAAATTTTATATAATACCTTTATGTAGATATATAATTAATTAGACATAATTATAGATGCAAAAAAACTTCCTCGATTACTATTCGAGATTTTAAACATGTTTTCCTGATAATTTTTTTACGCATAAACTTCATTATTTATATCTACGATCTTTTCCTTTGCGCTGCTATTTTACTTTTGCGCAGCGTGTTAATTATTTTATTCTGGATTATGAATCGAAGAATTTTACTTTACACAGGATGGAGAAACGTATTGTATAGATGCGAGACGTTATGGAAATATTGCTCGGTTCATCAATCATTCATGCGCGCCAAATTTATTACCGGTACGAGTATTCGTCGAACATCAGGACTTGCATTTCCCGAGGATAGCGTTCTTTGCCAATCGCGACATTGAAGCGGATGAAGAGCTCGGGTATGTTAAAAAACCGCTCAGGTCACTGAGACACAGGAAGTTATTGAAATACATTTCTAAACATATCTAACAAAACACATTATTACACGTATATACATAGATATATACATATATACACACACACACATACACACACGCCTACATAGACACTTGAATTTTTATTAATAAATCATTTAGCGTTTGTTTTTCGTTCTATGGCACGTAATTATAATTTTTTTTACCTCTGTTACTCTATTCTATTTTATCTTTGAATTCTTTTGTATAGTGACTAAATATATGATTCGACAGCACAAGACAATTCTCTTTAATAAATGTAGAAATGCGTAAATTGTTTATTAAATAAAGATACTTGATAATATATTGTTCCAGTAATCCTTATACAATCTTCTAATTTGTGCAGATTACATTTCTCATTTAATTCTTTTGTATTATTGATTAGTTCCTCATAAAGATAAAATAGTTACAAAAATTATATACTATTTTATTTTTTTTGAAAATTTTTAAATCTAAAATATATAATTATCATATTTATATTAGAAATTATTATACATATTTAATATCAATATACGATGGATTATAAGGTGGCGGTATTTTAAAATTTTAAAAGCATTTATATATTAATTACACTCTTTATTTTTAACGTTTTTTTTTTACTAACTTCATATGAGAAATGAATACGGATATGTTTGCCCGTAGCTTTGATTATGGCGAGAAATTCTGGATAATAAAGTGCAAGTCCTTCACGTGTACCTGCGGAGCCGAAAACTGCCGTTATTCCGAGAAGACTATACAAGTTACGCTGGATAACTATCGGAGAAAGATACAGCAGGAGGAAATATTGGCAGCTCAAACGTCATCGTAACCATAATGCGATTTAGTTTAATTTCTTAGGTATCCGCGATCTTTCGCAAATACGACGACAACGACGTCGTATAATCGTCCACGCATTAATTTTCCGCATTTCGATCTGTCGCGAAATCGGTTACTGCGATGCGCGCGGAATTGTAAAAGTACAAATGAAAAACGGTGGTGGGATGATTTGATTAGGTTCTTTCTCAACGTATACTTATACTAAATTCTGCTCTTTGATTTTGCAATCAAAGTTTTTTTAAAAGGATCGCATTCGAGATCATGTCACTTTTTGAATATCGAACGTTCGTCTACATAAATAAAATTAGACGATAAAATAAAATAGACGACCGGTCTATCAAGTGATTTTGTTATATCTTTTTTAAATGCTGATAAATTTCGAGAATATGTAATTTGAGGAAAGACACTTGAATTATACACAATTGTGATTTTTAAAAATATATTTGAGATTAAGTTCTTTCTTGATGTATACTAAATAGCAATACTTAAATACTGATACGATTTGATTTTGCAATCAAAGTTTTAAAAGAATCGCATTCGAAATCGTGTTACTTTTTGAATACTGAACATTTATCTACATAAATGAAATTGTCGACTGGTCTATCGAGTATTTTTCTTACATCTTTTTTAAATACTCATAAATTTCAAGAATATATAATTTGAGGAAAAGCATTTGAACTGTACGCAGTTGCAATTTTAAAAAATATATAAGTATTAAAGAGAATAAATATTAGTCAAAAGATACGACATGTATGATTAACATTTATGTGATTCTTGTAAAGAATTATATTTTTAGGAATCAATGTTTGCTTTAAACCTTCCTTAACAGACCGGTTTAATAATAATTTATATGAATCACTTTTGATTTGATTCGAAAAACTTACTCGGATATAATAATTTTATACTTTCCACAAAATATTTTTCTCACATTTCCTCCTATTTTTTTCGAATCAAATCTAAAGAGAATTTAATATCATTGCTCGTCCATATTTTTTCTCAGGCTTGCTTGTACTTGTTTCCTATTTTTATCGATCTTTATGAGAATGCAATGACTACGAGAAAATGAATGCTACATCAATTTTTTCTTTTTTTTTAGTGAGATAACGATAGCATAATATATATATTATACATATATTGACGATTAGTTTATGTGTGTCAGCTGCGAAGATATGTATGTTAAAGATGTTATAGTCCTATTTGGACTGATTATTTAATTATGAGATGAATATTTGAAGCTATTGTCGCTTCGAAGTGAATCGAAATCGGGATAATTGCAGCGTTCGTGTGTTCCTTACTATAGAAACTATGTATTAAATATTCCAATTAGCCGCTCACATCTCAAAGAAGAGCGTTTAATGTTGGATTCACTACAAGCGATGTAATACATAAGAATAAACTTTTTTTTGTACAAACGATTAACTTTTTGTATAATAAAAGTTATAGTCCTTTTTAATATGCATGAGTTTTATATTATTCCTTATAATTATTCGTATACCAGAATAATCTAATCAATATAAAAACAATAAAAGAAAAAATAAAAGGAGGTGAAAAAGAGAGTAAATCTCGAATTTTTTCATTTTCTTAATAAATATTTTAAATAAAAAGAAACATATTGACGGATAATTTTTAAGCATATTTTAAAGAGTACATACTTTAGAGAAAATTAAATATATAATTTACGAAGTGACTAAAAGTGATTAAAAGTTTTTTTTTTGGTTTTTTTTTTAAACGTATATACAAAATTTTAATTTAATAAACAAATATTTGTATTTTTAGGTATTTGTAAATTTTTTAAACTATAACTATGGAAATATACAAATGTAGCATAAACTATATATTTGAAAATGTAATATATGTAATTTGAAACTATAATTTCAAATGTAACATATGTTATCTCATATATGTAATTTTGAAACTATAATTTCAAATGTAACATATGTTATCTCATTCTTTAACTGCATAAATAAATATTGAGTATGTTAATATTATGTTAAGAAAAAAGGTAAAATCAATATATTTGAGATTGATATTGCTATAAATTTCTATGAATTTTATTTTATTAATTTTGATTGGATTACTTTTATTAAATCATAAAAATTTAAAAATTAAAAATACTTTGGTTACATCGAATCTTCCGAAAAAAATATGTTTACCTTTGCTGAATGGTCAACTTTGCAATATATTGCCATCAGAAATTTTTTTGGCGCGAAAATCGAAGCGAAAAAAAGCGCGCGCCACGATCGCGATTCCCGCTTGAAATTAGAGTCAATACGCACGCGCGCCTATTGACCAATCAGCGACCGGTGCGCCACTGGCCACGGAATAGTCATTGCGCAGACGCGACACTTCCCGCGTAATACGTGTGTTACTTCGTATTTTTCAAAAGCACGATGTTTCGAGATTTTTTCAGTAGCTAAGAATACTAGATCTTTAATTTTTTTGTCATTACATATATTAATACTGATTAATATGTTTACAAAATATTCACTTACGAATGGCAAAAAAAATTTATATGTATTGAATGATGCGCTTGCGCAGTGATTAATATCCAACGGCGACATACTGACTGATTGACCAATAAGCACACTCGATTCGAAATTCAAGTAAAAGTCAGTGTAACGATATAAGTCCATATTCTGAATCCTCTTTTATCGCTAAAAGTGGCTCTAAAAGTGTCTTATAAGCTTTCTAAATGACTATAAGCCAGATGTTCCATATTCTGAATCCTATTTTATCGATAAAAGTGCCTCTAAAAGGCACTTTTATCGATAAAATAGGATTCAGAATATGGAACATCTGGCTTAGGATAAAACAGGATTCAGAATATGGAACATAGAGTTTGAAGACGTGACGCCGTCGTGTAAAATTATCGCAGGTTTTTTAGTTTATTTGACGAGCATCCGCAATGTTTTTTATTATAATTGACGTGACTTGCATACGTTTTAATGATTATTTAACTTTTCCCGTTGCTCACTCGTTTCTCGCTGAGAGAATTATCGATCGTCAACGATAGCACACAACGACGCAGTCAATTCAGTGCGTAAGCAATAGTGTTGTTTACGGTGCTAAAAGCAATTATCGACGGGCTTTGTATGATGACCAAATGACGTATTTCTGCTTTTCACGGTTGGATTGATTAGAAAGTAAGTGAACGCGTTCTCTCGGAAGACTTCATATACGAGTCGTCATGACAATATTCCATTTCGCTCGATTTGCTATTATGACGTCCCTTTGCTTCTTGGAAGCAACCCTATAAGATACAATATTCCTAGAATATTGTATAAACATTATTAACACTTAATAATATTTATACAATATTTCTGTCATATTTAATTTTTAGCCATCGACCGACATTTATATAAAATTCGATAATAATAAAAATAATAAAAAAATAATTAAAAAAATAAAAAATAAAAAAAATATAATAAAATAATAAAAAAATTCGATAATAAAACTTTGGATAAAATTTATTATATATTTATTATTGCTCTAAGAGTGATTAATGATCATTGGTCAATTACAGTTATTCTATTCTTCTGAGGAATGGATGTGATTGGTCAGCTTTTAAGTTTGACATAATATCGGGCGAGCGCACAAAAAGATATAAATTTAGCTGTATTTATAAATTTAATGGAAATAAAAATTTTTTTATTTACATATGAAGTTACATGTTAATCGCCTTAAAATCTATATCTCTTTAAATTTTTTACGCTTTTGTAAATTTAAAATAAAAAATTTATCGCTTTTATTAATATTTTAATAAAAAATATTACCAAAGTAAATTTTTTATTTAATTTTACTTCTTGTTTTAGCATTAAAAGTAACGAATCGTTATTTTTGAAGTAACGGTAATGGTAACTAGTTACTTTTAAAAATAAGTAATTAATAACGGTAACGAGTTACTTTTTTTACTCGGTAACGAATAACGGTAACTAGTTATTTTTAAAAAGTAAAGCCCCTTGCACAATGCTAGACAACAGGCAATAAAAATAAGGAATAGAAACTATTCACCAATAAATACGCGGAATAGAAAATATTCGCCAATAGGAGCAGAGAATAGAGATCCAGGTAGATCATGAAACTCAAAATGACATCATTATAACGTTATCATGATTTTATTTATCACTTAAAATTTATTTAAACAAAAATGATTAAAAAATGAGTTAAAGATGACAAAAAGAATAATAAATTTTTAAATTTTCAATAATCGCATTATATAATTTTAAAAAGATTATGTTGCTTAAATTTATATTAATACATAATTTTAATTATTTAAAATATACATGAATAATTAAATAAATTGCGTAATATATATAAAAAATGATTATTATGATTGATTCTTAAGATTTCATACGCGAAGTATATACAGGGTGTCTCGAAACTCATAATCAATCTTTCAAAAATCCAGGTAGCAAGATGACGTCTTTAGACGTCATCTTGCTACCTGGGGACAGATTTCTGGGATCATTTGAAGACGATTTTTCCTCAACGAAAATGTCGAGGCACTAATAATTTTCGAATTATAAGTGATTGGAAATAAGGGTTTTTTCGTAAACTAAACTTTGTAGAAATAAAATATTAACAAAATCACATTCTTCGATTAATTTTAAATAGAGTTTACTTTAGTTGAGTTTTAATTTAAGGCTTAATTGCAAAGATATATGATGACAAAAATCGGGAACATGCAAAAAATGATGGCCTTCATCGACATTTTCGCTGAGGAAAAATCGTCTTCAAATAATCCCAGGAATCTGTCTTTGAAAAATTGATTATGAGTTTTGGGACACCCTGTATATATTCTCCAACAGAGTTCGCTAAAATTGTTATCAAAAATATCAAAAACAAATCACCAAAACATTGCCAAAAGTATATCAAATGAGATCATTATGATTTTTCTAAAATGACTTTTAGGTGACGTCATAATGATGTCATTATGACGTCACCTAAAAGTTTCATGTTCTACCTGGGTACTATTTTTGTTCTTATTGCCTGTTGCCTAGCATTGTGCAAAGGGCTTAACTTTCCCACCTCTGATTCTAGGGCCGGTATTCATAGTCCGATCTTATATTTAAGATTGTCTTAAGTCTGGTCCGAGGTTGACTTAAGACCTCATTCAACCAATCAAATAGCTGCATAGCATTTCAAGCTCGAACTTAAGACGATCTCAAATATAAGATCGGACTATGAATACCGACCTACGAAATATTATGTGCTTATAGATAGGTTAGGTTAGGTGATATACATATTTCATATATTTCATATATTTATATCAGATTTCACATATTTATTTCTAATTCGGGGTTAAATATTGTTGGAAAATGAATAATTTCCCAACAATATTTAACCCCGAATTAGAAATAAATATATGAAATCTGAAATAAATATATGAAATATGCATTTAGCGATGTCAAAAGACATTCAAGACGTAGCGAAAAAGATCGCGGAGTATCGCGCTTTCGAAAAGAGTGAAGTAGGGAACGTATTGTGCGGCGGGAAGCGGCGCGCCTGCGCAGAAACCGGTCCGCAGGCAACGGCGCGCCGACCGCTGATTGGTCGGCGCATGCGTGCTGAAATTCAAGCGGGAGTCGCAGTTAGTGTAGCGATCGTGGAGCGCGCTTGAAGGCGCGACGCCGTGTAGCCGCGTAGAATTATCGTAGGTATCTTTTTTTTTTCACCTGACGCGCGAGCCCGCGTTCGTTCTTTATAGTTTCAATGCGACGACCGCGACGTGTTCGTGATTATTTGCACGCGCTTTAGAGCCCCGCTCGTTTCGTTTTCCCGTTCTCGTGGCGCGCGCTTATTTCTCCGCCGGTCTTCGCGCCGAGAAAGTGCCGATTGCCGACGATGACATGTCGCGACGCGGTCGATTCAGTGAGCATGCAATAGTGTTGATTATGATACCGAAGGCGATCATCAATGGGCGATTAGTATGACGACTAGCTGACGGATGTACCTCTGTTCTACCTCCTCACGGCGTCGGCGGGGTTGACGATTGAGCGGAAAGTGGAAGGTAAATAAATGCGACCTTTCGAAAGATACATCCAACTTTACTTCGCATTTCTATAATATCAATATTTCAATTAAATGTACGATTTGTAATATACAGGGTACGATTTGTAATATACATTGTCCCAAAAGTCCGGACCGGTCGAATATTTCATAAAGTATTCACTTTAGAAAGAAATGTTTCAGACAAAAGTTGTATGTCTTGAAGGGAGCCATCAGATAGTGGCAATGATTTGACATGGGAGAGTCATTTGAAAGTCACGTGAAGATCACCGTCAATTTCTTAAATGGAACTCCCTATTTTTTATTACATATTCGTATAGCTTATCTCGAGAGCTTTCCAAAACTATAATAAAGTATTTCTTCATTGAGTACTTTTCAAGTTATGAGGCTTGAAATCATTTCTTAATTTTACATAAACCGTAAAATATCTTGTGAAATATTCATTTTTCGATTATCTTACGTTAATAACTTTTTGTACAAAATAATTAGAGGAATCAATTGTATAAAGGAAAAACATAGTTGTTTCTAAGAAAAAATATGTAATTTGCAATTAACAATTACATATTTTTTTTTTAAACAACTATGTGTTTTCTTTACACCAATTGATTCCTCTCATTATTTTGTACATAAAATTATTAAGGTAAGATAATAGAAAAATGAATATTTTACTAGATATTTTATGATTTATGCAAAATTAAGAAATGAATTCAAGCCTCATAACTCGAAAAGTACTCAATGAAGAATACTTTATTATAGTGTTTTGGAAAGCTCTCGAGATAAGCTACACGAATATGTAATAAAAAATGGGAGTTTCATTTAAGAAATTGACGGTGATCTTCACGTGACTTTCAAATGACTCTCTCATGTCAAATCATTGCCACTATCTGATGGCTCCCTTCAAGCCATACAACTTTTGTCTGAAACATTTCTTTCTAAAGTGTATAGTTTATGAAATATTCGACCGGTCCGCAACTTTTGGGGCACTCTGTATATTAAAAGAATGTATAAACAATTGTACTTCATATTCGAGAACTCATTATCACTGTGCGATTTAAGCAAGTCTCAGTTTTTCGATTATTTACACTTTTTTGCTTTAGAGATTATTGATGATTCATCTTGGATTTTTTAAATATTATACAATCATATGGTAATTTAATATTTTTATTGAGGATACTGCGGTATATTTGCTGCTGGAGAAGTCCAATTTTTTCATTCGATAGTATCTTGCCAATTGCTCTTCCTTCTCGGAAAGTTTGTTATTTACGAGATGAGTATTAGACGAAAACAAAACTCTTTCAACCGGACAATGTTGCCTGGGAAAGAGAAAATTGGTAGCTTTTGTCGAGTGTACAACTCACGATGAGCTTTTGCGAGAGTTGATTTCGAGATTTCATACGGGAGCACGGCAGGGAAACTTTCATCGAAACACGAGTGAAATCTTATAACCTATTACATTGGGGAAATAAAAGAAAGAATTAGTTCGACCTTTTGCAAAATGATACGTTAAAAAGAAGATATTTTATGAGCACTTTACTTGCATAAAAAAGTTTGTATTAAGTTATTCTGATTAATTTAATGATTAATTTCTCATGTTTATGAAAAAACTAAACGGTAAATATTTTATATTTTATGTTATATTTTACGATAAATACGTGTAATTCAGCTAATATTTACCAAATTTATTGTGACATATATTGTGAACGATATATCTCGTTATAGAATTGCGATCTAGACGTTTAGTTAATTATACGAACTACAATTAGCATATTTTGATTAATTAATTATTGTTCGCGCTCAAATGATTCTCAATATTATAATATTCGATTGAAATTTTTGCCTATTATTCGTGACGAATTTATTTCGTCATTTATCATTATTGGTTTAATTAATTTAGAGTCTGTTAAAGTGATTTCTTATTTTTATAAATTCTATTCATTTATTAGCGAGATATTAGCTAAACATTTAAAAAATTTTATTTTTGTTTATTTATCAGAATATTTTTCACAGAACGAAAGAGTTTATATAGACAATCGTTGTAAAATTTATAATTACAATAACATTAATGCAACTACGTTAATATTTCTATAAAAAGATGCTAACGTATCAATTAAAATTATTTCATCAAATAGTTAATAAGGAATTTCGCTAGATTATAAAATATGTGAGATTAATTTTTAATCTTGTATAATTATTTAAACAAATTTTTTTTCTCTTTCTCTCTTTCTCTTAAAATAAGTTTAGAATTTTGAAGATTACGGATTAAAAATTTTTAAAAATTTATTTTTTATCGAATTTTTTATTAAAAAATTTAATTTTAATTTTTAGATGTTTTCATAATTGATTATTCGAGTATTTATTATATTTGAATATATGATATGATACGTATTTACATAAAATTTTATCTAACATTCTCTTTCACAATATTCGAAAATATCCGATTTTTACGTTTAAAAAAATAGCAATAGAATATAACAAAATTGCGATAGATATGTGTAACATCAAAAACCAATTTTTGATATGAATATTTCTGAAGTTGTATTCAGTATCGGCTGTAAAATATTGAAAATTCAAATACCGAGCGACAATAATATCTGCGAAAAATACGCGTTGATGTAAAATCTCATCACAGCAGAATGAATACGTTTCAAATTTCCAAAGACACGACATTGACTTATTTGCGAATATTTTTATTAAAGATCCATTATTTCGAAGGTCCATATTCTATAGATATTATAAATGCAAATGTCGATTGTTTTTCACGGCAGATTTCTTACTTTATTCGTCTTGAAATAATTAAAATATTTTAATCCAGAAAATATCGCGTCGCTTGTTATCAACAAATAAATAATTGTTAGATATAATTATATTAATAAATTTATATACCATAAATCTTACTAATTTCTGTTAAAAATATTTTTGTGTTAAAAATATTTTTTCTGTTAAAAATATTTTTGTTTTTATCTTTCTATTTATTTCTTTAAAAAATGCGAGAAAGAATTAAAATGAAAAGAAAAAAATCTACAATATGCCATATGCAAGCTTGTTTTTCTATCGACTGTTGTTTACAAAAAAATAGGTCTTCCGACATCTGGCGATTATCCGCGATTACGTCCTTCGGTTCGTTACATGGTTTCATCGAGTCACTCACGCATCGAGAGAATAGGACTGTTGATTTTCAACGCAGACATGTCATTACTACTCTCTTTGTTCGATCCGTCACATTGAAATACGAGTAGCACTGTCACATGATATTTACGGGTAAAGTTCGATGGCCCATGAATTCAAAATTTTTTTGAAAGTTCACGCAAAAAAAATACAGAATATAAGATAAAAAAATATAGGACATTTGAAACGTCCAAATATTTTTTATATGACACGTAAATATTATAAAACAATTAGATATTATTAACTCAAAATTATTATTCAGAATATAATTTAATTCATTAATTCATAAACATATTTTATATTAAATATATGGAATTGCTAAACAGATTTCGAATATTTTATATATACATATGTATCATCTAATAAGATTATATGTATCTTTTATTTTATTTTAAACAACGAACATCTCGAATCAAATATGATCTAATAAATAGATAGAATTTTTTTCTGTACGAAATTAGAAGTGATAAAAAGGAAATATATAACGTATCTCAAAATATTTAATAAATATATTGAGCATTTTTACGATCATGGCATAAATACGTATTATAAAAATATACGTATTATAAAAATATTTTTTATAATTGCGTATTCACTATCGCGAAGTCAATGGATTTTCGTGTTTATCTCTACCTCGTTTGTTAAAGCTTTAGAATACGCGTGATTATATCCAGTGAATCGAGTGTGCATGCGTACACGCGAAAATTGTAATCATTGTCTTAACGAGATGTGTTATCACACGTACACACATCTCGACTTCTAATATATTATACTAATAGACATTGAATTTTTTAATAGGTAAAATAAATTCTCTGATAATTGTAATTTTTATTAACAAATTTTATTTTTTTGCAAATTGATATTTTCAATAATTTCAATTTAATTTTACTATAAAATTTTAAAAAATATGTAATATGTGTATAATGTTTCTTTTATCTTTCCTGATACTTTTTAAATTATTTTACGTAACTAGATATCTGATTTTGGGAAAAAAACACTCGAGAAATATATATAAAAATGTATGAATATATAAAATTGAAATAAAATTAAATTTAAAAGATATAATTTGATATTGTTAAGTTATATTTATGTGTATCAATCATATTGAAAATTTGTATATTATTATATTAGTTATGCATGAAATCTCCTGAGGCCACCGCTTACTACTTTATTAATTTTTTTTTTACAAAATCTTTTTATAAAATCGAAAGTGAATATTTCCTTGGAAGCATAAATTTAAAAAATAAAAATGATTTTGAGTAAAAGTATTAAAATGTGTTAAAAATTTACTAAACCATTCAATACTTAACTTCTTTCAAGTTCAGCTTAGTCAGAAAATTTTTTACTTTTTTGTTCCCATTTCTAAAAGTCCTAAGTTTCTTAAGTTTCATTAAGAATACGGCATTAAAGCCTAGAGCCGTTTTCCTGATTTGAATCTTTACTTCCTACTCTTTCGATGTGCGCGTATACAGTTTCTCTTGATCATCAGCACGGTTCTAAAAGCGTACGCAGATCTTTACAGCCAACAAATCGAGATTTCATCGTCGATTCAGTGTCCACCGGGTGATCGTATCTGAACGCGCGAGCAAGGAAACCTTAAATCACGCGATAGCGACAATTTGTGGGGTATGTCATGGATACGACCGGAATAGATTATTCTTGTGGACTCGATGAGGGATTAAGATCCCTCCTTCAAAGGGAGAACGTGATATTTTATATAGGGATAAAAGGAGGACGTGATATTTTATGTAGGGTACAAAATCTTAAAATATGGACGTCGATTTACATTGTCATTATATTTAATTAAAAATTGAATATAGAAGTTAGAATCCAAAA